AGTACAAATGTTTATTTTAACTTTAATTTAGTTTGATTTGAACGGTTATTAGTAAAATAAGTCGTTTTATATTTATTTTCTACTTAGTTCAGTTTATGTTTCATTCAAGTCACTTCTTTTTTTGTCAGTTTATATTTTAAATTAATTTATATGCTTTTGCAAATTAATCTTTTAGTATCTAGTTTATATTTAGTTTAAACCAGTACATTTTACTGTAAATATTTGTTATTTATTAAATTTTTATTTTTATAAGTTTTACAAATCTAATTTTTAATTGCATCAAAAACTTTTTTTGGGATTTGATAAAAAGTTATATAATTAACATGATTTAGTGATTTTGACAAAACAAATAATACGACATCTTGAAAGAAAAAATTTCTACGATGATGTCATATACCGAGACTGTTATGAATTAAACACGCATGGAATAAATTATCAAGTCTGCAGATTGCAGCTAACATTATACAGACTCCGAAAACCAAAAAAAAATGGAGAGGGTGAGCTTTGACTAAAACGTGAATTTCAAATTTAATGGTGTGCATTCATTATATAGTTTTAATAAAAAAAAAAATAGCTCAAACGTTTTTTTTAAACATTTTCTTTAGTATGAACACAACTTGTCTCGGCAGTTGGGGATCCCTTTAAAGAAGATGGTAAAATATTACAAGAAGTCACCAGTTCTTCCTTATTTATATATGAAATCTTTTTCACCTGACTGTGAAAAAGATTTCAGATATAACTAAGGAAGAACTGTACAATGAACTTCGACACGTCAGTTTGATAACTATTGTTTTTGGCAAATGGTGTGTTACTAGAGCCTTGGATCAAGCAAATCCAAATCCAAAATTGTTTCCTTGTAAGATTGGGTAATGGACTTTCGATCTTTTGTTGTAAACTAAACTAGATCAAAACGTATCAATGTGTTTCAAAAATATATATATATACATTTTTTCTGTGGTTTTTTTAAGAGATCCAAGAAGACCTTACTGTCGCATCACAGAGCACCACAGAGAAGCATTTAACTTGGAAGTTTATGCTTCCTTTAATGCAAAAAAATACCTAAAGTAAGCATCAAACTGCAGATCAGTGAAGGATTCAGCATTTTTTGGTGTTTGAGATAACGAACAGACATGGCACAAATTTGAAATATTTGTATGTTTATACTTATGTCAAATAATGATGCTTTGCAATATATTGTGATGATGGAGGCTGAAAACTAAAAAAAGCCCTAAAATTTCATCCTCCTTGCTCCAAATGTGAGAGCAACAAGTTTGAAAAATAATTTTCTTGAAATTCTTAACTTTGTTTATATTCATTGATAAATTTTAAGTTTTATAGTAATATCTCTCATAGTTCATAAATTATAACTATATAAAGTTTAAATCCCCTTTTACAATTTATGTTACAAATTTTATATAGTCATAATTTTTGAACGCTTAGAGATTGTAAAACAATACTTAAAACGTATCAATGAATGTTAAGTTAAATAAGTTGATAAAATAATTTTTTTGCTAATCTTAAATTTAGTTAAGAATAGCAAAAAAATTATTTTATCAACTTGTTACTTTCACGTTTAGGGTAGGAAGATAAAATTTTAGGGCTTTTTATGTTCTTTGCCTCCAATCATTGCAACTTTTAAAAAAGCGCCATTATTTATCATAAGTATAAACATACAAATACTTCAATTAATATCTCAAACACCAAAAAATGATGGATCTGTCACTGCTATAGATCTCTTGTTTGTGAAGCTAATTTGCTTCAGAATTCAGCGTTTAAACGCTGCAAATGTGCAATGAATATTTATATACATAAAAATTTCCAACTCAAGACAAATATCTCAAGAAAATATGTGAAAAAAATAATTTTTAAGGTTTAGATTTTGCAGTTAGATATCGGATCAAAATTGAATCTATCATTCAAAATTGAATCTATCATTCGCTTTCTAGTTATTAAATGGATATGATTCAAAATTGAATCATATCCATTTAATAACTAGAAAGCGAGGAAGCAGTCTTGCAGTTAGTTCCTTGAATCCACTCTTCTAATGTTTTTTTTTTTTTTTTTACAAGAATTCAATATTTGAAGTAGCTTCTGAAGCTTTTCCAAGCTCATCACATGGTCTACATTATCTTAAATAAATTTTACTGTAAGCACAGCAAAATTAAATTATTTTTTTTAAAACAAGAAATACGTTATTGTTTTAAGAATAAATATCCGACCCTGCATTTTAATTTTAAAATAAATTTCTTAAACTATGTTTAATAGATTTACAATTTTGCTGTGAGTTCTGATATGTTGTTAGCAACTTTAAAAGATTTTAAAAGTTTTGGAATTCATTGTACCCAAATAGTCTGAGGAAGTCTCATCTGTAGACATTTTTTTAAATTATGACTTAGAATATCAAAAATTAACCAATACTCTGTTGAAGTATACAACTCAAGACCTAGTGGCTGGTCGTTATCAACAAAAACTGCTTTCAAAAGGATTTCAGCTTTGATTCTATCCATTTTTACATCTTTTCGGACCTCCCTTTGTTTTTTGAATACTGAACTTTCTATCATTTTTATATTGTGATCTCTATCAAAATATGCTAACGCCAGCACCAAACATCTCTGTAGTTTTACTATGATTCGAATTTCACCTCTGCAGCAGGCTCAATATACATTTGCCAATAGTCTTGTTGATCTTAAAAGTATAAATTAAAAATAATGCTATGTTGATAAAATAAGATGCCCTGCGAATCATCTTTTTTAGTATCGAATCCAATCAGCATTTTGAGGAAATCTAAGTTTAACTTAAACATAGATATCCTTAAAATGCTGATTTGATTCAAGATTCGATTCAATTTGCATGTTAATGCCTGTTTCAATTCGTGATTTGATTTGATACCAAAAAAGGTGGTTCGCAGGGCCTTAGTTCAAAATGATATTGCTAAATACTTGTTGCATTATATTTCTACTGATTTTAATAAAAGCTTGCCATTAAAAAAAAAAATTGGTTTAGACTTATTTTTTTGTATTTTACATCTGATTTTAAATTATAGTCTTTTAACAATTTGTTACTTCATGACATAAATTAAGTTACTATATGACATAAATTAATAATTAATAAGTAATATGACTAAAATATCAAAACTTATGAAATTAAGTTTTACTTTAAAAATTGCAGAATCAAAAAAGTCACAGGTTAAAAACCGTGATTCCCTGGAGAGAGAAATTTAGTCAGCCATTCTATTGATCTCTTTGAGTATTTTAGTTACTCAGAATCAAAACCTGCCTGATTTTAGAGAAATGCAACTTGAATTTCATAAAATTCAAGGCGTGTAAAACAGGTCCATTTTGTGGACCTGTTTTACACGCCTCCAAAAGTCTATATGTAAATAATTTTAAAAATAGAAACTTATACGTTTTATTTTTTGCAAAAAGATATTTTAAAGTGAAGCAGTTTTATCTTTACCTTACTGTTTTTTAACCTTTTATGGCTTTATGATATAAATAGTTTGTTCCCCAGTTTAACAGTTTAATTTACCGCTATGACTGTACGAGGTGTGTTCAAAAATTAAGGTGACTTTATATTTATGACGTCATTCAAAAGTTCTTGAGCGATGCTCATGCGACGGTTCATTTGGTCAAATTTGAGCAATTGCAGAACAAACTTCGCTGACACATGTTTCATGCCCAAAACGTTAGAAAAAATTTCATGGCTCGAGCCAAGAAATATACCAACATCATCAGCAACTTCTCTGATAGTGATTTGACAATTTTCCAAAACAATTTTCTTCACTGCTTGAACGTTTTCATCAGTTGTTAACGTGGTTAGGCGTCCAGAGCTTGGCTCGTCATTGTCATTTTCCCGGCCATCTTGAAAGAGTTTGTACCACTTGTAAACATTTTTTTTGTTCAGAACAGTTTCACCGTATGCCACTGTCAACATTTCAAGTGTTTTAGAGCACTTTATTTTATTTTTTACACAAAATTTGATGCAAATCCTTTGATCCATATTTTTCTATAGTAAAAAATCGCCAAGTACACAAAACACTTTTAACCTTTACGCCTCTCACAACCAAATAAAAAATGCTATACACTTGAAACTTGGTACAGATGTTCAGGAAAAGTGTACTAACATGAAAAAACAAAAAAATCAATAATCGAAAGTACGTTGCCAGCGAAATTTGAAAAGTCACCTTAATTTTTGAACACACCTCGTATAAAGCTCTCCAATATGATGGCAGGAAGTTAACAAGAATAATGGTCTGCCCGTAATTTTAGCTAATCTTGTGCAAATTCTTTTTAAACAACCAGGGCTTGAAGTGAGTGATCTCTATAAGATAAAAAACATTTAACAAATTTTTAATTGCTGTGTATTGAGCCTCAACGCTATCATTTTTAAAAACCATGTTTTTTTAATTTTATCACAAATTCGTGCTTTTTTAAAATACCTCCAGTTAACAAAAATAATGGTAATATAAATCGGTATAGATAAAAAATTTTCCATTACTTGTAATGATGTTATTATACAGTTAATGGTTTGTAAATTTCTTTTTACGCCGATTGTTCGAAAATGCTTATAAAAACTAAAAAAAATGTAAAAAAGTTAAACTTTAAAAGAGTGGCGCAAGTATAAATAGTCATTAAAACAAAAAATTAAAAAATTTCATTAAGAAAATAATACCTTAGGAATATTTTACACTCCCGGTATTAAAATTTGTTCATGAGAGTCAAAATGGGATTGGCTAATATTAATCTTAGTAGATTGGTAGGTAGTGTAAGTATTAAAGTATTGATCGCAACTCTTACTGAAGACAAGGGGCACTGCAACTATGTTTTCCCCAGCTGCCAAGCCTAGGGATGTCCCTGCACACACACATAAATGTATATATATATATATATATATATATATATATATATATATATATATATATATATGCATATATAAATAAATATATATAGAAAGATATAAATCAAACATAAAAAATAATTTGTTTTTGTTTTTTTTACTAGAAACACAAATATTGCTGTGAATGTGAGATTTACTTACGAAGTTCAACTTGGAAATACTATTGAGAATTGTGTCAATTTAGTTAACTTTAAATTGGGACCTAATTTACTTGGTGTTTCAATTAAACCTTGTGGTAAAATTCAATTTAATTTATAAGCTTTTTAAATTTGTGTTTGTTTGAGACTTTTTGAGCCTTTTTTTTTTTTTTTTTTTTTTTTTTTTTTTTGTTTGCTTGCTTTTTTTAAATTAAATAATTTAAAATTCCAAGTAAAAAAGAAAGTTAAAAAAACAATAAATTTGTAAAGTTTCATTTAATTTTGATTTACTTAGATTGCTGCATTAATCAAACAGTTGGGGAAGAAAATTTAAGAGGAGTGTATACATTTCCATTTACTATAGTTCACAATACATTAACAATAATGTGTGCATACAATTCCAGTATTACTTTTGAAACACAATGTATGATCAATAACGCTTCTTATTTACCTGAGTTGGTGTTTGCATCTCTTGATAGCTGTCCATTATATTCCCCTACTACTTATCAACTCATCAATGCAGCTAATGTTAGTTGAAATATTTTGTATTTTGATAATAATATGTGTATAAAAAAAAGTCATAATAATTTTTAATTGTTTGTAAGTGACTAAAATTGTTTAGTGGGAGATAATTCAAATTAAGTAAAATTACATACAACATACTATGTGATATTGCAGACACAAGTGGAAAATAATTTTAGATTAAAAAATCTCTAGAAGATTGTGTAATAGAAAGCTCTAGAACATTTGATGAAAACTCTGTAGTTTATAATTTTGATAATTATTATTATTGTAAATACGTTTTAAATAATGTATTTTAAAAAAAGCTTAAAGAAATTTTTTTGAATTTTTATATAAATATAAAATGAAAATAAAAATATTTAAAAATATTAGTGTTGATTTTTGTAATGGTAATAATACATAAATAATCAATTAAAACACATTTTTAAAATACTTTAAACAATAAAACAATAAAAATGTTTGCAGCTTTTGCAGAGCTCCAAAAGCTGCAAACATTCTTAAATATCCATCTTTGAAAAGAGACTGCAATCAGTACCATTTTTTTTAATGATGGTGATGACTTCAATGAGTTCGGTTTTTAACTGCTCACATTATCGCTTTAAACACTCAAACATAATCTGATGTGTTTTCTAACCATGGGACAGCAAATCCAAGTTTTTATGCTTCAAAGAGTACCAAAGTAATGTCTTTGCATGTTGCTGTTAAAAGAATCTGTGTAATTAGTGTAACATGACTTAACAACTAAACAAAAAATCTCTTTGATTTCTTTTCATCATTCATCTTTGTACCAAAAATCAAACAAATTCATTGGCTCAAAGTTAAATTTGAGATTCGATACACACGATTATATCAATTTGCAATTGATATAATGAGTGTGTATCGTGGCTAAAGGCTAACATCTGAGTAGCTAGAAGTAATGACTTTAATCTTTTAAAAGGTTCCTCAGAGATGATATGATGGAGTTCAAGTTTAGCATAAATGTGTTTTGCCTAAAGTAGGTATTCAGTTTAAGCTATTTTTTTGAGCTACGAGAATTGCTTTATACTTGCTGTTCACATTGGTGTCTTATTGTTATATCAATTTTTATTGGCTTTGTGAGAATTATGACTTTTGCATAAATACTTTGTTTGAAATTAATTTCTGCATTCTATCCACAAGTTTTTAGCACAAGTTCTAGTACTACTTTTTTTTGTTTAATCTATTTTTTAGCACAAATTTCCAATGACTGAGTAAAAGTTTTTTATTTATTTTTTAAATAAATATCACTTAATTGCCAATTGCTTTGAATATCAATACTGTGTATGTGTAAATAATTTTATTTTTGATTTCCTCTTTATTTCTCTTTTTTTATAGCTTAATGTTACAAATGAAAATATTCTGGATGTTACAATGGAATTAAATAGCATTATTCAAAATGGTTACCTAACATCCAGTTTTGATATTAAGTTGGTTTCAACTATTTTGAAGAATATTATTAGTGTCAACGCTTCTTCAGAAAATGTGAGTATATGGTTATTAAGTATTAAATAAGATTTCACAACATATATATATATATATATATATATATATATATTATATATATATATATATATATATATATATATATATATATACAACCCTCGAAATTAGGAAAAATGAGGTCGCCAATAATTTGCCGACCTCGATCTTTTTGAGGCCAAATCGGTTAATATTTAGAGGTCACGCTGCGGCGATCTTTATACCCCTCTAAAATCGGAATTTTCAAAAGTTTAGTAAAATATTGACCTTTGTTTTCTGTGCACATTTCAGTTATTTACCGTTCGATTTTAATAAAATAAAAACAAATATAAAGCTCTTATTACACATAATAATTTTTATTAAACAACATTAAACAACAACAGATGCTTATTGTCGCCTGGTTTGTTTAGCACTCAATGTTGATTTTTTTGCATCTGGTAAGACAGCCCTGTTTTCTGCAACTAAATTTAGCACATACTTTTGCTGCTCTTCATATTTTGTTAAGACAGCATTAAAGTCTTGTACTAACTTCCCCCCTCTTTCAGCACAATCATTAACAACTTTAAGAGACTTCACTACTTCTTTAGAGTCGGCATGCGATTCATTGTTTTTCCAGTTTGAAGGATCCTCTTCAAGAAAGGAAATGTCAATATTTAAGAAATTAAAAAATGAAAGTGATTTACACGTTACAAAGTCCTCAAGGGATTTACTCATTACATTTGTAATATCTGCTAATTTTTTTGATGGCCTATTATTGTCTACGCATTGACCATTTTTCTTTTAACTTCAATCTCTACATCATCACTAAAAAAGGCCAAAGATATAAGTTCTTCACTTAAATACCATAGATGCCGCTTCATTGCCTTGGTTGCTGCAGTCGCTATATTTTCATTCATTTCACGATATTCCTTAATATTTTTTCGAAAATCTAAATCATTAAATGGGGCCGAGGCACTGAATGGTGCAGTAAACCACTGTCGAACATATATTAACACAGCAAACATGCTAATATCTCTTACTGCATTTAATTCATGTTGCACCATTTTAAACTGATCTTTAAATAACCATATTTTAATTGAATAAATAAGTTTTGCCATCCACCGAGCATGATGGAAGGCTCCAGGTGCTTTAAATCTTATTCCACTAGGAGGTTGCTCTCCTAAATATATTAGACATATTTCAAGAAGTTCTTTATAATCATCTCGTGGTTGTGAGTCTTGCAAACATTTTTTTAAGTAATTAATTTTAGACGATTTTTTTCAATCATGACGTTTGAAAGATATCTTTCAGCTTCTTCATCTTGCACTGTTGGGCTAAAATCATCTTTCTTGATATTCTTCCAGGCTTGTTTAAATCATTTGAAAATAGCAACATCTGGTCCGGACCTTGTTGGAAAATAAATTTTAAACACAGATCCTGCAACAATTTCAGTAATGTGATGAGGACAAGCTAAATTCAATAATTCTTTGCCTAATTTTTCTTCAAGTAAATTACAAGCACCTTTCTCAGATCCTGTATTGCTAGCTGTGGTATCAAACGACATGCCACAGAGATTATTAATATGATTCGAAGCGTCCCATTCATGGAGGGAGGCTACAATTGCAGTAGCAATGGCTTCTCCTTTTGAATCAGGAAGTTTTGGCACTCCCAGAAGTTTTTCAACACCACGCCCTGTTACTAAAACTGACAAACGCTCAACATTTCCACTTCCAGCGATGTCTGCCATCATTTTTCCATCCCAATGAACTACGAGAGGTACATCTTGTTTGAAATTTTCTTTTGTTTCATTGTAATGAGTTTCACTATAAACAGTTCTTTCCCTATGAAAAGTAGTAACAGATATAGAGAACTCTTCAATGGGAGCTCCTAAACTTTGCATTGTAGCTGCTATAGTTCGCATTGCCACACGATTGCTTACTTTTCCTCTATCTAAGGAAGCGACAACTTCAGGGGTAATAATTTTTTTTATAGAATGCTTCCTTTTCAGATCGGAGCTTTCTGCAACATCATTTTTTCCTTTCAAAACTACGATATCATCATGATCGCTACTAGCAGAACTTGAAGGCGAAGGTGAATTCTCAAGAACAACTACTTCTTCAGAGCGTTGTTTCCTTAACGCTTCTTTTTGCAAACATTTATCCAAACTTATCTCTCTGCAAACTTTATTTTCTTCTTTCTCTGCATCATCTTTATCAATGGAACCCAAGACCATGTTTCTATCATCTTGTTGATCTATGAGGAAATTGCGATCTTCAGCAATTTTTATAAAATTAAAACCATTAGTTGGAGCAATATCAAAAAGTTTCATAATTCTCTTTTCAAAGTCTGTTACTTTGCTTCTAGCAACAGCTGATTTCTTATTTCTGCCTTTTAATAGATCCGTATATTCTTTATGAAATTTTTCAATCGTTGTAACTGCATTATTCTTTCGAATTGTAGGAATTTTAGCTTTTTCCCAAGTTTCACAAGTTGATTTGATAACTGTTACCGAACTTTCATGTTACCCAATCCTTTCACCTCATGGTGGAAGAAAAAACATTTTAATACTTCCAAAATCGTTGGAAGCTTAAGATGGGAAAGCATTGATATTGGTTGACCAATTAACTATTTTGCTGTAGAACTGCGTGTTGACTTTGCGACTGCAGCCATTTTAAATTTTCTTTAATACAGTGTATGAATGAAAATATATTTTGTTGTCTCCTATATTTCCAAACAAAATTAGTTTCGTTTAAACTCGCAATTATATCACTTTCTTAAAATACTGTAATTAATATTATTAGTCAAGCAAAATAGATAAACTATTGTAATTTTATTTCAGGAATCACAATACTCTTGATAAAGTCTCGAACTGAACTAAACCATATAATAAACCAATATAATAAAATATAAAAGGAAATGTTATTTAACAAAAATATTATGCGTAATAAGAGCTTTTTTGTTTGTTTTTATTTTATTAAGTTCGAACGGTAAATAACCGACATGTGCACAGAAATTGAAGGTCAATATTTTACTATACTTTTGAAAATTCCAATTTTAGAGGGGTACAAAGATCGCCCCAGCGCGACCTCTAAATATTAACCGATTTGGCTGATTTTTTTGGTACAATGTTTTATTTAATAAATGAACACATTTAGACCTTAGGAATAACAAAAAGTAAAAAAAAAAATTTTGGTCATTTTTGGATTACCCTAATATATATATATATATATATATATATATATATATATATATATATATATATATATATATATATATATATATATATATATATATATATGTATTTATATTTATATATATATATATACATTAATAATTTTTCTTTAGGTATATAATTAATTTTTTTTTAGGTAACTAGCGGTGTTTTATCATCAATTAATAGCTTATTAAGTTCAAATTCAAGTTTAATTCAAAGTGCAAATCAGATTTATAATTCATCTACTGAGTTTTTATTTTTATTGGATGATTTGGGAAAGCAGCAGAGTAATAATGTTAGTATATCATTTAAAAACTTAGGGTTGACATCATATTCAATCAAACCAAATGGTAACTCTGTTTATGTTTATTCTTCAGAATATATTGATAAAGTTGGTGTTAACATATCAAGTGATGATTTTAATGATGAGTTAGAAGAGTTTAACAATTATATAGTCCTTCCTTCACAGTTGTTCAAGGGTGAAAATAAAATTCAAATTTATTCATATATTTACAAAGATAGTTCTTTTTTCACAGAGGTAAATAAAACTATAGAAAGTCTAATTCTTTCTGCTTCTTTAAATGGCATCGATGTGAGAGAATCCAGCAGTTTAATTAATATAAAGTTTTCCAAGCTTTCAGGTGTTTCAGAGACTGAAAAATCAGGCAGCGTTACGTGCAGTTTTTATAAAGTAAAAGGTTTGCTTCTCAAAGTTCTTTTGTTTTTTTATCAAATTTTTTTTTTTTATCATAGTTGCTTTTTTTTTTTTTCAAAATTCTTTTGTTAGATATCTTTTATATTTTTGAACAATTTATAAATTGTTTTCTTTATGTTATATATGTTTGTAGTTCAATTAACTAATAGTAAGAATAGTAGCATATGCTTATATCCTTTTTGAAAAGGGATTTAAAGCATATGATAATATCATATGCTTTAAATCTCTTTTCAGCCAAAACGATAGCACAAAATCTAACAAAAAGTTTTTTCTTTTTAAATTATGATTTTTTCTCTGTTAGTCACAAGTATTTTTTTTTTTAACTTTCAACTGAAAACCTTAAATAACTTGTAAATGTCAGTAATCTTATTTAAGAATTTCAAATATTAAAATGACCAAAGTGGTTTAGAACGTAAAGATGCTAATTTAAACTTTGTCAAAATATGAATAAATAAATTATATTCTTCAAGAATTCTTCTTTTTTTTTTTTTAAATAAAAATATATAATACTGCGCTCTCTTGCACAAAAATGAGAGACCGTATATAAAACATTCTATATAATGTAAAATACTCATATGAAAATACTGAAAATCATAAGATTAGTAAGTAAAGTTTTAATATTTGTTTTAATTTAAAAACATTAGAAATATAAGTAAGATATATAAATCTAAAAATTATTAAGATATCTGTAAAAAATAAGTTGCTCCAATAAAATAAAAATAATTAAATAAATAACTATATATAAATAAAAATAATTAAATAAATAACTATATAAAGGTCAGGTCAGGTTTTCCTGCTACTGGTAACATGTAACCCAGTACAACCTGCTCCATGTCCTGCTGCCTTGTAGGATATGCTTTTTTAGGCAAAGGCTAGGAGAAGTTAACTCCGAATTAAAACACCCCCTGCCTTGGGGCTCTTGGTTGAGTAAAGGCTAGAGATGGTGTCTCGATAAAAATACTCATCTTGGGCAGATGTTACATGCATCCAGCTGCTGTCTTGTAGAAGGCCTCCTAGAAAAAGACTTAAGGGGTAAACAGATTCTATCTGTTGACCAGCCTCGCACCCCTTCCTCATCTATTAGGCTGGCGCAGATGTATTTTTAATACATTGTTTCCAGTTTAGGATGTTGAACGCTGGATCTTCTTGACTCAATGCGTGGGTATTGCTTGTGTCTCTATTTTTATGACTGGGCAACTCATTCTATTATCTCCTAATGAGGGTACAGCTCTAAAACTCAGTTTTATGGTTCTGAGGCCGGCTGGTAGTCAGGTTTCCCGAACTCTGTGGTAGCTCTCAGAGAGGCTGATTCCATCAACAGCCGAAAAATATCAGAGTACTAACAGTGCCATGTTGCGCATGGATGGTGTCCCTGTTTGTACTTTTGGTGTGCATTGCAGAGGCCACATTTGGAGCCCTTTGTTACGGCTTAGGGTTTATTAATAGTAATGAGGCTATTGCTTAGTTGTTAAATAGTGTACTAAGTACTATCTATACTTGAGTCAAGTTCTTTATAAATTTAAAATGACTAAAGTATCTAAAACTAAAAAACACAAAAAACCATCGTCATCACCAAGTTCTCTAAACCTATTATTTACTAATATTCGTGGTCTTCGAAGTAACCTTTCTTCTGTTGAGTCTTATCTCTTGCAAAGTTCACCAGACCTACTTGCTCTTTGTGAGACTAATTTGAGTTCGGCTGTCCCATCTTGTGATCTTAGTTTTGATGGTTATCTTCCTTTAATTCGTAAAGACTCCAATAATCACATGCTTGGCCTGGGCATCTACATTCGTAAGAACTCACCCATTTGTCGTGAAACTAGGTTTGAATCTACAGACTATTCATTTATGTGCTTTCGTTTAGCACAACTTCACTCTATCGCCTTTCTCTTTGTTCTATATCGCTCTCCTTCATCCCAAGATTGCACTATTCTTGATGTTATTTCTGATCAAATTGACCAAGTCCTCTCTCTTTATCCATCGGCCAATATCGTCGTTGTTGGTGACTTTAATGCCCATCACACCGATTGGCTTGGCTCTAGTGTCAGTGACTCTGCTGGCGTTAAGGCCCTCAACTTTTGCCTTTCTCAATCTCTAACTCAAATAGTCAACTTTCCAACTCGTTTTCCAGACAACCCTAATCATTTACCTTCTCTACTCGACTTATGTCTTGTTTTGGATCCTAGTCAGTGCTCAATTTCTCCACATTCACCCTTAGGTACTTCTGATCACGGTTTGATCTCTCTAAAACTATTATCAAATTCTTCTACTTCATCAGAATCCCCCTATCATCGTACCACATACAACTACCTTAAAGCTAACTGGGACTCTTTCCGTGATTTTCTTCGTGATGGCCCTTGGGTAGAAATCTTTCGTCTTCCTGCTGACAAATGTGCTTCTTACATAACTTCGTGGATTCAGGCTGGCATGGAATCTTTTATTCCCTCTCGACGATTCCAGGTCAAGCCTCACTCTTTTCCTTGGTTTTCCTTACATTGCGCTGCAGCAATTTCTAATCGAAACCGTTACTTCCATATCTATCAGCAAAACAATTCTCCAGAAAACAGACATCTGTTCACTATCGCCAGAAACCATTGTAAAAAGGTTTTGTCTGACGCCAAAGCTCGCTATTCCCAGGTCATTAAATCTCGTATCTCATCACAAAAATTAGGCTCTCGAGTCTTCTGGAGAATCTTTAACAGTATCAATAATAAGGGCAAATCTGTTATTCCTTCTCTCTTGTATGGTTCAGACTTTGTCACCTCACCTAAAGACAAAGCTGAATTGTTTGCTAAGAACTTTTCATCAATATCATCTCTTGATTCCACTAGTTGCGTTTTACCTGACATAGCCGTCAAACAGGTTGATCCCTTGCTTGACATTCGCATCACTTCAGCTTCTGTATCTAAAGTAATTTCCTGCTTAGACTCTTCAACAGCTTGTGGTCCTGACAACATTCCTGTTGTAGTCTTGCAGAGGTGTTCTCCGGAGCTTTCATCCATACTTTCTAAACTATTTAACAAGTGCTTATCAGAGTCTTGTTTTCCATCATGCTGGAAAGCAGCATCTGTTATCCCAATTTTCAAAAATTCCGGAGAGCGATCTGGTTCATCTAACTACCGTCCCATTAGTCTTCTTCCTGTCATAAGCAAGGTTTTTGAATCTTTAATCAACAAACACTTAATCTCTCATCTTGAATCAAATAACTTACTTTCTGATCATCAGTATGGATTTCGGTCTTCTCGTTCTACAGCTGATGTGCTAACAGTAATAACCGATAGGTTTTACCGTGCATTAGATAGAGGTGGAGAGGTTAAGGCTATCGCACTTGACATTTCTAAAGCTTTTGATAAAGTTTGGCATGCTGGTCTTCTCCATAAGCTTTCTTCTTATGGTGTAGCTGGTAACGTCTTTAAGATTATTGAGTCCTTTCTTTCCAATCGTAGTATAAAAGTTGTCCTCGATGGACAACACTCTTCTTCACATCCTGTAACTTCAGGGGTTCCTCAAGGTTCAATCCTTGGCCCTATACTCTTTTTAATTTACATTAACGATCTTCCAGATATTCTCACATCTAAGGTGGCATTATTCGCTGACGACACTACCATTTCCTCTTGTCATGATAAGAAGCCTACACTCTCTGATTGCTTGGAGGGGGTATCTGAGCTAGAAAAGGATCTCACTTCTGCTACAGCATGGGGCTCACAGTGGCTGGTGAACTTTAATTCAGATAAAACTCAATTTTATTCGGCCAATCGTTATCGTAATAATTTAGATCTTCCTATATTTATGAATGGTAATGTACTAGATGAGTCATCTACCATTCATCTTCTAGGATTAACTCTTACTTCTGATCTTTCTTTTAAACCGTATATCAAATCCATTGCAAAATTAGCATCTGCTAAGGTTGCATCTCTTTATCGAGCTCGACACTTTCTTACTCCAGATTCTATTCTCTATTTCTATAAATCTCAAATCCGTCCCTGTATGGAATACTGTTGCCACATCTGGGGCGGATCTTCTAATGATGCTCTTTCTCTTTTAGACAAGGTGCAAAAACGAATTGTAAACATAGTTGGACCTGCTCTGGCAGCCAATCTCCAACCTTTGTCACATCGTCGTAATGTTGCTTCTCTTTCTCTTTTCTACAAATACTATAATGGGCACTGCTCTAAAGAGCTAGCGTCCCTTGTGCCATCTACTAAAATTCATTCTCGTGTTACTCGCCATTCAATTAAGTCTCATCCTTTTTCTGTGACTGTTCCTAAGTGCTTCAAAAACTCTTATTCTTCTAGTTTTTTTCCTCGAACATCAGTTCTTTGGAATTCGCTTCCTTCATCTTGCTTTCCTGATTCATATAATTTGCAATCTTTTAAGTCATCAGTCAATCGTTATCTTGCTCTACAGATTTAGTCTTTTCTCTTCCAGTAACTTCCAACTCTTATAGTGGTTGCTTGCAGCCTTGTTGGAAGTGAAGATGTTTAAAAAAAAAAAAAAAAAAAAAGTAGGATTTGATCGCAGTTGTAGAATGTTCTAACACAACTCAGTAACTAGTTTTACACTTTCTCCTTGTTTTGTTACTTTATCAAAACACATAGTATGATATTATAGTTGTACTGTGCATATTTTATTTTTAAAGGATTTTTTTTTTTCAAATGAAACTGATTGCTAGTTGCCTTGAAACATTAAGTTTTATCAACTAAGCAAGAGAGCTAAAACTATTAACTTAGCATATTATACAGCAGTTTTTACCTGATATTCATGATTAAGAATTGCTTCAAGATAAATTAAAATTAATAAAAAGTTCTTTTAATATATTTTTTAAGTTTTAATAAAACTCCTAATACAGTATTTTACTTATATATTTTGCAATTTATTACAAAATGCTACTTGTTTTTATATTTTTTTTCTTTTTAATAAGTATTTTTTTAAAGTTGTTTTCAAAAGTACCTTTATTAAATAAATTATCTCTTAAGTAATTAAATAAAACATCGAAAGTTCTGAATTCCTTGAAGTTCTGAATATTTTGAAGTTCTGAATTTTTTTTCTTTAATTTTTGCAGCACTTTCAAAAGTTATAAATAGTCTATAGTTTTTGCAAATACAAAAATAAAGAATTAACGTAATAAAACTAATAAAATAAACCTTCAATGCAGCATGTTTTCTTTTCTCAAAAAAGATAAATAGGATTCCCAATATTGGATATACTTCATTAAGTTCTAATGATTTTCAAGAAAAATGAGTTTAAATGCAACTCTATGTTTACACTTAACACTTTGTTAAACTTTGTTAATCTTTTATGAATCAGTTTATATATATTTTTCATTTGACTAGTTTTTTTTTATTTAAGTGTTTATCAAGGCTTGTCCTTTACAACATCTCAAGTACATATAAGGTATACAAGTTGACATTGTGTTTTTCATGTAGTTTTCTTGTAGTTAATGGATTTTTTAACTAAAAAGTACCATAAATTACACGAAACCATATTTTTATTATCAATATATATTTTGCCTAATTATAATAACACAATATTAGAATTATTGTAATTTTTAATCTTAATTATGGTAAGATAAAAATTAATTTATACAAGGAGATGTAAAGAGAGGGAGTAAAGAATTATCATCTGTGTAAGTTTGACCTTTGTTGTTATTCTACTTATAAACTTGCAATGCATTCTTGATAATATGTAATTAACTATAGGTTTGTTTCCGCTTCTAAGTTGACATTTATCGCCATTTTAAAAGCTATCAAAAATTTTGCAACAGCATTTTTACATATTTTTAATTGAATAAACAGAAAAAACAATATGTACTCAGTGAACAAAATGTACTATAATGAACTCAGTGGGTTTATTACGCCAGTACATGAAGTTTTATTTTCAAGTAGAAATAAATTTATAATTTATTTTCAGCTGTTAGAAGTGTTTCAACTAAAGGAATTTAAAGGATAACATAAAAGTTCGTTTTTAAATTGAGCTTTATATTTTTAAACTTAATATTTTCTGTATCAATAAAACTGATTGTCATTTTAGTATGAATGAAGTATTTTTGCATGTACGGTGAGTTTGAACTAAAAAAGTTTAATTCCACCCATATTATTTGCCTAATAAATGATAATTTTTTTTATTTTTTTAACATAAAACTAATTATTTTTATAATTTGGTTCTTTTACAATAGCACAACAAAAATCTAAAAAGAAAACTGGTTACTCAAAGCAAAGACCACTGTATACATGTATTCAATTACAAAATTTTGTTTAATAAGGTTTGGTTGTGTACAAAATAAGTAGGGTGTTAGGAATTCCATATCAGACACTTTGTGATAAAATATCTGAAAAAACTTTCTTTAATTTAAAAGTGTCTCAAGCTTTTTCAATTAAAAAAAAAAGTTTAATTTAAGCAATGTCCAAGGATAAATTAAAATTGTTTTGCAATTCAATGAAAACAAGGGAGTTTTAAGGATAACATTAAAGTTTGTTTCTAAAATGATTCTAATATTTTTAAACCTAAAATATTTATTATTAACAAAACTGTTCATCATTA